CGTCAGGTTGAGGCGCGCTTAGCTCACGCACTAGCTCTGACTCAGACAGTGCAAGAACTCCTTGAACAGATAGTCGATGATGAGCTATAGGAGTTTGCTGGTTTTGTCACCGACAAGCCAGTCGGAGAGTGAGCTGCAATAGCACCTACAGTTTTATGCTGAGCCACGCCAACGGTANTAGCTTACTGCTATGTGGTCGATTTGAGTTGACGTACCAGTTGAACTGGAGTGCCACGTTGCCGTCCGTCAAGAGCTGTGTTGGAATTTGGTGCTAGATAGGAACAGATGATAGTCTGCGCAGAAATGAAGAGGTCGATCACCGTTATCTGTTCGTTGGCTGGGCAGAGCACAACTACCGCCTAGGCAAGCTTCTGATGCGCTCAGTTTTCTAACCTGCACGTTGAAGTCACCTGCAATTACAACTATGTTGGAGCTTCGACTCATACGAATGAGATCGATGAGTTCATCTTAGAAAGCGTCTTTTTGTGTATCAGAACTGCAATTGGTCGATGCATACGCCGACAAGATGAGCAAACCTTTTTGATGTTGCTTCCCTTCCGGACGCTGATGGACCCTAGAGGCGCGCTGCACATAAACGACTGTTGACGGGGATCCTATCGATAATGGAGGACTCAGCCCTGTTACTGAGTGCAATACCTACCTCGTGCTGACCTACTGAGCGGGCTTCGTCGTCGCCCGATGTGCGAAGAATGTATCTCGATGACAAATCTGGCGCGCTCAAATGGTTTATAGAAGTGGGATCCTGGATTCGAGTCTCCGACACGCAGAAAATATCGATCCCTAAGGATTCCATTGTACGCGCCAGACAAGCTTGTTGATCTACCTGCATCAGGGTCCTCGCGTTGAAGACCCCCAGATTCAGTGATTGACGAGGTTTTATAATCTGCGATTCGTCTCTTGGTACATTACTTACAGTGCTATTTGGTAACGACCTTTGGCGAGCGGCATCCAAATTGCTTGAGGGACTATTACGGGTCGGAAGAACGGGAAAAGCGAGAGGACTAGGTACTGAAGACAATGAATTAAACGAAGGTTGGGAAAATTGAGCAGTAGCTCACTTATCACTACCTACCCCGCTCGATGTAATGGGCAGCGCGGTCCTGATTATCCTGCGCGAAGACCGATGCGGTATGGAATTATCTGTAAGTTGTTTAGGGCCAAACAGTCAGATGTTATAGAATTTGTGAAACCGACATCCCCACTTCACTAAACCGCGTTCAACGTCCGCACCCTACCAGATCGGTCAACAAGCTGCCTTAGCGAGGACCTTCGAAACATTCAATTTGGAGGAAACACGCATACCGGTCCTTACTTCTGTCATGACCTTGCGATCTCCAGATCCGACCTCATCCTCACGCTTCACTGTTCGCATGTCAGGCGATTCGGTATTCGCAGTGTTGCTGGTGTCACGATTGCGCCAAAGGCCAAGTGCCCGTTACTTGACTGGATTCCGGTTAATACCAACTTTTTTCTGGACGTCTCGACGATTCAGCACGTGTCAACTGCTACAAAACGAAGCGTCGATACTCATTCTTTGTGTAAGTGTATTCACCGACTGATTGCATTGCATCTGAAATCAAGGACGAATTGTACAAGGATTTTTTTCTCAATTACTTCAAATAGGTGGTACCTTTAGACTTCCTGAACCTCGAGATCATGGTAACTGGTGATGGATGGGGATTTCGGGATTATCATAATCAATGGTTAGGGACACTTCATCCAAATGAGTAGCCTCCTTCAATCTTGATAGTAGTTTTACCTTTGCTTAGGTGGTCTTCTTCAGTACCGCTGAAGTAGCCCTCATGCTCATTTCTCTTAAACGCCAATCTCTCACACAATGTTTCTGTTCCACAGAACCATACAGCCTATCCTTACCTTCTTCGATGTTATTTTTCTACCGCGGTATACGGCTTTTTCTCGTGTCAGATGTTCCTGTATTTCCACATTCCTCTCATTTTCTGTAAAGCTGAGACTCGCCTTACAATGGAATATTGCGGCCAATAGTGAGGTTAATGTATATTCATTTCCCTTTTCTTATTTTAGTTGCTTGTGAGGTCATACTGGCCATCGACAATTCAAGCCTCTCAGTTGCCAGATCTCGGTCGGTCGGTCGTTTTGTCTTTACCGATTGTTTTGTTCGACGGAACTTGTCGCTCCCGTCTCATATTCACTTGATCTCCCCTGGGTATTCCACTTCTGAATTTGAATCTTTTCTCGAGAAATCGAAAGCTGTTTACCCCCGGCCGATTTTTCTCCTTTCTCTGATAATCGTGGATCCTCTGCTACAAGCAGGGAGCTGCAACGAAAAATTGACACTTTGAAACCTCATCATCATTAAAACTTGGATGTCTTTCGAGTGTTGAAGAACTGCAGTTTAAATGCACGACTTTCGATAAAGATTATGTAAATGACCGACTACCGTCGAAGAGCTCGTGTCCAGTGGTCGATGCATCGATGTCACTGATTTGAAACAAAGTGGATTAATTTTAATGGAGCGATGAAGCAAGGTTTCCGTTGTCTATGAATATATCTAGAGGTCGAAGGGATTTGGTAAAATAATGGAACGTGGGGGACTGTTTAAATACTGCTGGGAGCGAATTCCTCAAGGGCATTTATCGAGCCTTGTCGACAGTACGCTACACCGAGTGGATGCTGTTATTGCTAACAACGGTGGTCTCACTATACACTAATATTAGCATAGTTTCCATAACCTGTTCCTCTCTTGGTCACATGTTCATGAGGTGAATGGGTCATTATGCTATTGTGACTACGGCTGCATGTGGTTGGGGAATGTGCTTCATTTGGACCGGCATACTGGGGTCTTCGTATTTTTGACCAAATGTGCGTATCTGATAATTTACATAAAACTTACCTGGCACTGTCGAATCAATGACCAATTCTCCGCTTTTTATCTAAATTAAGGTTATCAACTATTGCAGTTGTCTGATTTTTGATTATGCCTAATTCACATAACAACATCGCCTTTTCAGAGACTTCAATGCGCTGGTCGCTCAAGATTCAAATTTGGTTGCTTTGATGCAGGCCCTGTGCTTGTTCACCCCGGATCGTCCATCTTTGGATGCTCGGCAAACGGTGAGTCAACTACTCATTCTCTTTGATGTCTGTGGATCTCTTGTTATTGAGAGGCTAGTTTCTACTGTAATAACCTTCATCGGAATTGAACACGTTGATTTTAGCATTTACACGCAGATCAACCTCGACCATTGCACACCACTTGGTTGAAACAGGTCCTGCTAACAATTTGTTTTCCTCCTCGATCGCGAGAACTGACCAAGCTTGATCGAGGCATAACAGATCGTACACAACAAACCCGCTGAGTCCAAAAGTATATAATCTTTACCATTGGCCTACCATGACTTTAGCCAATCACGTTTAACTACACGCTCAGAAAACCCGACCGGATCTTTTAGTTCGTTTCATAATAGTCTGTCTCGTTTGATGTTCTACGTGCATGACCAGTGATTGTATACGAATAAAGCCTCTCTTGTAGTTTGTCTTCTGACCTACCTGTTGAAATTCGTCGCGGGATCTAATTGTTTCGGTCAAATGTTTGTTCGCTTTCATCCAAATCTCAGGACATCTTCGTAAGAAAGATATTGAGAAACTTTCTGAAGCCGATTGGCCAGTTCTAGCTGCAGTTTGAGTGTTGCCAATACTTTTTCGATTAGCAGATGTACAGTTTCTTTGCTCCATAAAATAAGTTGACGTGTTATAAATACGTTATTCAAACAGATCCGATGGATGATAAACGTTATTTCCATGACTAATATACATTTATATATTTAACACTGGCTTGTAGACAAGCATGGTGCCAACGCCACAACAATAATAGGGGGTATTTGGATTGGATTACAGAACAAAGTGAAAAGAGGGTGAAACAGTTAAACACGGGGAAATGGTAGATAACTGGGATAGCAAAATTTTTGTATTTCACCGTACACATTTTTAGATTCTTTACCGGGCACGGGATTTCGACAGGTAGACAGCCTTCGCGCCACTGACTTCGGTGGCAGACGGCTTTGCTGTCGTCCGGTTCAATACTACGCCTAACCTTACGTGGTTCGCCACTCCAAGTCCTGGGACTTAGGTTGCCGGTTTCCATGACGGAGCAGGTCTTCGTGACTATGGGGTTTGCTCCGTCTGCTGTTCACCACACAAATTTCTGTAATAAAAAGATATCTCTCAACGTCTCTAGCCAACGACAGTCTTCATCCCTTGGGTCCCAACCTGGGACGCGGGCTGCACCAACGGAAGCCAGCTTCTTCATGCCTCTATGCGATGCCATGGTCTGATCGCCGTGCCACTTCTTCCAGCCTTGCCCGGCACGTGCGAAGAGAGCCCCGAAAGGTAGTCGATGGGCAGGCATGCGCAATACGTGACCAAGCCATCGGAGGCGGTGTAGTTCGGTTACTTCTCTTAGAGAACGACTATCCGCACCCAGCACACGACGACGAACCACCAGACACGAGCAATGCTTCGGAGACATCGGTGGTCGAATACAGAAAGTCGATTTGCATCCCCAACGCAGAGGGGGCAGGTCTCGCAACCGTAAAGGAGGACGCTACGAACCACACCGATATAGACCCTCCCCTTAAGGGATAGTCGGATATCATGGCGACGTCACAGGTGTCGCGGGTTGATGAAAGCTGCCCCAGGTTTCGCTATTCGTGATATTGTGATGGAAGGTGGTACAAAGAGGGCCCCGGCTAGCGAGCGAATGAAGAACGGGACCCATCCAACCAGACGTAGCGGCTGGAAGTACTTCAAGAGACGATGTTGACTACCACCCAAAACGAACAAATCGACAATTACAGCCCGACAGACGATCCGCAGCTAACCAGAAAGATATACACCGGATGCCACTACGTCAGAGCTGTCGATCAACGTATCTCGCGCTACGATCGGGTCAAACCAGCCGGAACAGCACGCGGAAGAAGAGGCGAAATACGTGCCAAGTGCGGACCAAAACCAACAGGGATTGACCAACAGAAAGAGGCATGAATCTTCCTGCCGCGCGGTTAAGAAGTGAATGTGTATAATTGAACGCGTGCACCGGTTGTTTTTGAACTGGATCAATACACGGTTTCCCACCCAGCTCGCCTTCGTGCTACAATATGATCTCCTCCTCAACACCCTCACCAAATGCAATAAAACTTTCAACTACTTCTAACTGATCATCACAGAGGGTGAGTGCAGGCACAGGCTCCTGCCAGTCTCGATCAAGCACTTTGCACTTGGAAGGTGCCAAGCACATACCGTATCTGGATATCCCGATCGTTAAGCGGTTCAAATCGTTTTGGATTGCTTGTGTAGTCACCCAGCAAAGCAATGTCATTGGCGTATTATAAGTCAAGGACTCTGTTCCCTGGGAGGAGTTTGACTCCACCGTTTGCTAGACCGGACAAAGCATCCTCTATGACAAAGTTGAATAACATGGGATTCACCAGTTTACGATCTCTCTTCCATTTTTATAACGTGACCGGCCGCTTAATACACCATTCGGTTACCAATAAATCAAAAGAACACCGCGTCGCACTCCCCTGCTGCGGAATGGAGCAAACCTTCTCTTGGGTGGAGGAAACCAATTCACACAATCTTTGTTCCAGCACTGTTCTATCCGTGTCCGCGCGAATCAACCGGGATAATAGACCTAGAATGAGGGAAAAAACCCTGATTAGGAGACAGTCGTATGAATCTTGCTAAGCCTACCGGTTGCGACCGGTCCAATCGGAAACACTTAATGGCATGGATAAGTTTCACATTAACACCTACCCAGTTTCTGCACGCTCAGTTTACCTACATTCCACTATTCTTATTTTAGCATTGCTCCTAGCATCTTTACTTCGTTCTTTTACTTGCTCGTCACTGTTCGATTAAATAGGCAGCTAGGAGAAAGCAAAGTCAGTGCGGGAAAGTGATAAGTGCTCGGATTTGAGACAGCTTTATCAACAGCAACCAGTACATCGAATAACGTAAACGAAGAACAAAACTGAATTGCTTTTGATTTTTATTAGCCTGCGTTTCGTTAATATTGAGAATGTAAACATTAATTACTGTTGCATGCCTTGCTTTTCAGGTAGCGAACGTTCATGACCGTTATTATCTTCTACTGAAACACTACTTGGAGGCCAAAGTTGGCTTTACTCAAGGTCGGGCTCTCCTCACTGCTGTACTAGGCAATTTAGGTCAACTGGAAACTCTTACGATGAATTATGGACATATGCTGATGCAACTTGACCCGACGAAAGTCGATCCCCTCCTGATGGAGATATTCAACCTAACACCCGACTCCTCTAATTCTCACTCTCTACAAATTCCCTGATTTCAAGAGAAAACACTCAGTGATTATGAAATAATTTGTTCTGTACATGTATGAGGAAACGTCAACTTTTTAGAATGTACATAACTTTTGGTAAATGTGATTTTAATACATTTTAGTCTAAACGCCTTTCTGCCAATTTACATATGTCGTCCAAGGATACGCGTTTGATCAGCCGTCCCATGCACAGACCCTGAGAATGAGAGAAAGGAAAACGTATGAATAAAACGAGTAGATCCTGCAGAGAGGTGGTAGAACCACATGTTCCGTTTCCTTTCTATACACGTAAGCAGTGCTGAACGGCACCAAACAGGGCTGAACAACCGCGTGCTCGCCTGTGCGAACCGATAATTACTCTATGTAGACTACTGCGCAACAACAGGTAGACGCAACGGTCAACAGAGCAACGAGCGAATAAGAGGTTGAGAAAATTATAAACCAAGTCAAAAAAAGAAACAGAAAGGTTTAAAGGAAAATGCGAGACCACCAGAAGTGGAGCTTGTTTCATGTTAACAATAAAAACTACCCGTATGATGACTTATGTTACAGGCACCCACGAGGGTCAACGTTTACTTCAACTTTGTTGCACCCTCTCAGTAGATTATGAGCTGATCAGTTTCTCCAAAAGTTTCAGTGTTGTCGTGGGGTGCCGTGAGTTGCGATTGATCACCTGCCCATAGCATCTCGTGGAACACCACTAAACAACCAAGTATTTCAAACATTCCCTGCTGAGAAATGCTTACTCTTTGTCTTCGTGTGGCCGAGTTGTTTCCTGGCTAAAGTAAGTCACTGGTATCCGATCTAAGGGAGACGGCTAAAAACCCCAGTTCAAAACCAGGTAAGAAGAAGCATACGAACTGTACCCACAACTTGGTAGTTCTGGAAGTGGTTAACCTCGTTGATTGGGCATCGAGGTTCATTGAACATCCAGGACGGTTGATCCCGTCCAAAGTGTGGTTTAATAAACTGAACAGCGGACACCCAATGGAAAGCGGCTGTTCACACACCATCTCGTTGTCTTGTGGATCA